CATTCCCATGACTGCTGGAGCAGGAGCACTTTGGAAAAATGGGTAATTATTGCTTCCTTATTAAGGGTATTAATGATTCTGACCCGTGTTATATTAAAGAAAATCCTGAATATTAACCTTATGACCTAGAGGGATTTCCTCTCGTAAGTCATCTGTTAATTTTTTTTTAGCTTCTAAAAATATACATTTGTATTTTTTATTCTTGCTATAGATATCCATTTCCATTTAGCAAATTTTTAAGATGCAACTAATGGAGGAAAACGCAGCCACAAAAGAAGCATATTTCAGAGTTAACATGAATGAAGAACACTTGAAGTTGATAATTGCAGTTTTGCTGTAACAAAGTGGTTTAGTGTAAGACAGAAATATTTTCTTCAATTTTCAACAAGATTAGAGTAATTCAGATCACATATTCCCTTTCACAATATATAGTCTGTGATGGAGTATTGTCAGGAAACTGAAAGTACTTGCAAAAAAGTGTGAGATATCTTGTGTCTCCCTGGGCTTGTGTATTCAATAATGATTGCTAATTCACTGCTGTGTTAAATGCAGCTTAGGTGAATTTTTATTCAGAAGAGTTTTGCCCTACAATCAATGTTTTGGGTTTGTATCTTCTGCCCTGTGTGTATTTTTGTTGCCTTCTTTTTCCTTTTTTTTGTGTGTGTGTATTCTTTCCTCTTTCATATCTTTTTCCAGCAAGGCAAGTAACTAACGACCTCTTTGTACCCGGGTCCTAATGCCCTGCTGTGGAGTTATATTCACAAATTCCCAGACTTAGACATATTCTTACTGCGTGTTTTCTTTCTCGAATGAGAGTGTAATAACATAGCTTGTTTAACTTTTGCTGGTTTTAACAGCAGGCAGAAGAAAGCTTTTCTTAATATTTTTGTATTAACAGTCCATTCTTAATAGCCTTGTGTTCTCTGCAGACTAAAAATAGTAGTCAGAGTAAGGATCCTTCTGGATTGTATTTGTAGAATTGAACAAATGGTTGGTATTACCAGTTGGTAACACATGACACCAACATTAAAATGCTGGCATATATTAGCTGCAACCCCGTTTTGGGAGTGATCACTCTATTATGCTTTCATTGAGTATCGACATACTCTTCTCTGTTAAAATCTCTTACCACCTTTGATTCAACGCCAGATTTTTTTTTTTAGCCTTTTTCTTGCTTAGCCATTTTTAAGGTGTGGCCTACGGCAGTAAGAGTCAAATATTCCTGAGGCCTGAAGGTACTGTCACCCTTCAAACAGCATCAAAGCAGGAAAATTACCTGAAGGCTCAGCCCAAGCCTTCCTGCCGGCTGGTTTGGCCAGTCCCGCTGCCATTTGCAATTCAAGTATGAGTTCGGTGAAAGGGGAGGCCTTATTGCCAGAGGGATACAGAGGCAAAACCCTAGATTTTACAGACAAACCAAACATAGACAAATCCCTTTTCAAATTGTTTAAAATATTTGAGGAATACCTCTTGCCGCTTGCCTTTCCCTCTGGCTGTTGTACAGGTTTGTAGACCCTGAGAGTAACACCTGTATTCTCCAGGTTTAGTTTATGCACATGTAGAAAATGAAGGGTAGAGTTTACTAGATACTAAAATCTCCTCGTTTACAGTTGCAGTTCCCATTAAAAAGAGGATTGATGTACCCGAATAGCAGTTGAGGTGCAGTGTTTGATTAGCAACAGTGAAGCTGTGAGTTCAGGAGGTTTCGTAAGACAGATGGTCTCAGCATTTGGTGTGAGGGGTGGTCTTCATGGAGGGGACATGTGTCCAGTTGAGTGTCTGGACAGTGCAGGATCTAACCACTAAGCGAGCACTAACTGAGCAATATCAGTGCTGCTTCTTCGCCTGTTCTTTTCTAAATGTGACTGAAAACCCCAAACCTGACTGTCTCTTCAGAAGTCAGTGCCACACAAGGAGTCAGCTGGCCATATTCCTTTCTGTTAAATTATAACCTGTTTCAGCAGAACCTTCTCACAGCTTTGACTGTTAGTTTTGACTATTTCATGCACTAAACTGTTGTATGCAATATGGCAGTCCAGAACTGACTGCGGTTGGGACAAATGAATTGAATCAGGGGTATGTGTGTGTGCACGATGTACTGTAGCTTGTAACTCAGCTGAACTACAGCCTCATAAAACAGCCAGTGGGAAATACCAAGTTTGGGCTACTTATTATAATTAGTTTGCAAGAGGTGGCAAGCTAATGTGGCACATGGATATTCATTTTCAGTTTCTTAGACATTGGCTTTTCTTTCTGGCTGTATGGTTGTGGATCTTCTGTTTAAATTGTGAGGCTGCTGTTCATACATCTGCAAATTTTAGCCGAGTGAGCAATGCTAGCCAAACTGTGCTAGATCAAACCTCCAAACAAGGTGTTTTGGCATGTGGAGACATTTTACTACCAGGGTCAGGTTAGAATCACGTCTGCAGGACTGAGCTGCAACATCAGCCTGTGGTTCCCCTGTAATCCCTTGGATAAGAACATGTATTTACTGTGGAGCTTAGTCAGAGCTGAAGGTTTCCAACCTGCTAGATACTGTGCAGACCTACAATCACTCTTTTGGTCTCAGAGCATCACCCCATCCTCCCCTTTAATTTTTCTACAGCTTTTATTAAGTCATAACTTCCTTTGACTCCAAATGGAGTTTCCAAACTTCAGGGCAGCTGGATGGGATGAGACAGGGTGGGACAGCAAACTAAATACACGGAACAGATAGAGCACAGACTTGATAGGGACCCTCTTTTTGCATCTCTTCCAGTTTATTTTGAGATGTTTTCATGTGAAGACACTGTCCATTTTCCCCTTCCTAGGGCAATTTCTGATGATATATCCAACCTTATTGCCATGTTTTTTCATGCTACCACTGGCAGGAGCTCTAGCTCTTGAATCTTATCATAGTGGTGCCACTGTTTCTGCTGAGAGCTTTCTCTTGCAACATGCTCTAAAAGGTCATAGGTTAAAATAAGTTTAAAATATGTACAAGGGAAAATTCACCGCATGTACTTGACTGTCAGGGTTTGGGGATTTTTTCCCTTTTTCTTAGTGCTGAAGCATATTAGAGATTTTTATGGTTTTGAGTGTGATCCAGCATTGATACTGTAGCTCTGGAGGAGTGCCAGCAGGGAGGCTTACAGAATATCAAGTTTTATACCATCTTATGTAATGTTTATGCAGGTCGGATCTGGCATATTGAAATTCAATTTATTGAAATTATTGAAATTATATTCATACTGCCCTGCTGCCAGGGGAGCTGAAATAGCTATGTTTTGTGGCATTCCTCCTCACACAGACATAGACACTCAGGGAAGATAGGTTTGCATTAATGTTTTTGTCTTCTCCTGCACCGATATTCACTGGTGAACTAGTGCTGTTACACTAAAAGTCTACATTGTGCAGCCATAGGCATGCAAATAAATAAGGAAAAGGGTCTCAGTTCTTAAAAATAATGAAAATGTCTTCAGGTTTGCATTGCTGGTTTGGGAGCCTTCCTTTAGACACGGTTTAGTTTCTTTTCAGAAAAGGCAGTATCTATTTCTCTCATTAATCCTTTCATTGCAAAACTCACGTTACAACAATGCACAGAAACCGCTCAACATGAGTTATGTCTTTTTGATTTTATCAGTCTAATTCAATCAGTGTGGATACATTTACATCTGCATAAAGCTACCCTGTACAAAAAAGATTTTTCCTGTCTAAGAGACAGAAAGAAAGACAGGATTACTCTGAGGTCACTCTGTTGCCATGTGAGAGGTTGGTGGTACCAATACCACCATGTTGGGGGAAAGATGTGTGTAAAAGGAGCTGCTCTCCTAGCCAAAGTAGTACTTGCAGTGAAAAAAAAATTAAAATCTGTGTCAAGACCAAACTATAAGTGAATATAAATGGAAATTTTTTAAAATGTATTTGCTACTTGAAACTGTTGCATGTCAAAGAAAAAATCATTTACCTTTACATTCACAGTTATGGTCAGAGGACTGCAGAGAAAGTCCCCTTCCAGGCTAATTCTTGCTTAGCCATAAAGCATGTGGTAGTAAACTCTTCTTTTTTGTTCACTGTGGACAGAACAAGAACGAATGGGTCTAAATAGCAAAAAAATAAATAAATTAAATTAGCTTACACAGCAAAGAAGCCTTTCTTGCTGGCAGGGGTGTTTAAGCACTAGATGGATGTGGTAGGTCCATCATTAAGGATTTTTAAGGCAGGTCATACAAACAGTTTTCAAGAATGGTTTGAGAAAATTAAATCCTGTCTCAAGCAAGAAGAGGAAAATGGGTAATCTGTTCTCCTTTAGCCCCATTTCCTCTGATTTTTTAAGACCATTTTCATGCCACTTAATGATTATTATAACTAGCTGTGCTGTCCCTGTGTGTTTTACTGATATGTTCCTATACGTGATTCATTTTCCTCTTGCAGCACATGCAGCAAGGAAATCACGATTACAGAATTTGTTAATATTTAAAGGAAAAATATGCCCCTACTTAAGAGAGCATTCAAATTCTGAAGGGCAGTTCTGACATCTTCTTTTACTTTTGTTTTTCTGTATACAGGATTCTCAGGTGTTTGTGACACATCTGTTTTTAATATCATTGCACAACATGTTTGGAAAATGCTGAAAAAATATTCCAGCTTTTTTTTTTAAAGTTAAAAAATCCATTACAGGATTCAGCTTTTCAGTTAATAGGATTATACAGTAAAAAAAAAAAAACCAACAATATTGCAGTTGAAATAGACTGAAGAATTCTTACATATACTTTATTTATGCTTCAGAAATTTTGCAATTAAAGAAGCCTACCCCATCTGTTGTTCTTAAGCTCATCACAGTATCTAAAATCATTTTAGCAAAAAGATACTTAGCCAGTGCTTTGAAGCATCCATACATAAATATTGCCATGTCATTCTGTTGGTTGGGATTATGTTACTTACTGAATGATTGCTACTCATTTTTTGCCAGTATAATCAATAAAAGTGACACTGAGAAATATGATCTCCCTTCTCTGCAGGCCAGCTTTGGGTGGTCTCCTTACATCATCTTTTCGGCAGCACCAGGAGTCCTTGGCAGCAGAAAGAGAAAGACGACGTCAAGAGAGAGAAGAGAGGTTGCAAAGGATAGAACGTGAAGAAAGAAACAAATTCAAGTAGGAACCAAATTTGCTCTCAGTCTGTTGCTTTAATGTGTGATGGGTCTGTAAATCTTTGAGATGTTCAATTGCAAAATAATTGAATTGATGAGTAGTTTGCATGTCTCTTTAGATGCCATTCTTGATCTAAGTATCTTAAGAACTGATCTATTAAACACATTGTGATGAATTTTGGCATTTAATGAACCAGCATTTTTTTTTAAAGACAGCTATGTATTTGCCAATTATACTGACTGGATATCTGCAGAGGCCAGGTTTTATTAGCTAATATACTTCTTCTCAAAGTATGATCTCTAGTGAGGCATAGGATTTGTAGATGAAACAGTGGGAGGAAGGTATCAAGAAGGGAGGAAGGGACAGCACTAAGACATCTTTTTACTTTTACGTTCTGCAAAGTAAAAATGTTCTGAGGTCTCAGGATGTATGGTAGTATTTTTAAACTGCACTTTTTTCTGCTTTGCTGAACATGTGTCTCTTCCTTCTGGAAGCAGCAACTGATAGGAAATAATTATCAGAACTATTGCTCAAACTGTGGCCAGACAAAGGCCTCAGCTGGATATAGGACTCTCCATTTTCACATCTGAGATTGTGTGTTGTGCCGAGGGATCCCAGGGTGTGCTGCCTGAGAATAGTAAAGAGGGCTGTCCTCTCCCCCTGTTAAATCCACGCCTGGAAATCCCAGCACAGGCGTTAGCAAAGGCTGCGGTGGGCTTAGGATAGATAAAGTGCCTAAAGTGCCTATACCTGAAGTGTCTGAAGGGCATACCTAGGAAACCATTTTGTTTCCTCATAAACGGGAATGAAAAGTAAACATATTTTTAGTAGTTAGAAGGCATAATGTAGTAATCTAAAGAATGGTAGGATAAATGTTTCATAGCCTTAGAGTAGATATTTAAGGAAAAGATGGCACTGGGATTCAAGTGAGCTTCTTTATTAGTATGCAGGATTGCTTTCACTGTAATCATCTCTTTAGTAAGAAGTGGAAATGGTCTGTGTCCTAGTGAATTTGGAAAGAAGAGTCACTTAGTAGTGGTTGTTTGGCTGGTTGGTCGAAGGAGATATTCTCCTGGCTCCAGAAGATAGCTAGTTTAGAAGAAAATGAGAGGCGGAGGGAAGGTGGAAGAGCACCATAATAGGATCTTTGGCAGTCAACAGCTGCCCAAGTTCTCCTGAAACAGAAACATTCAGGTCTCAGTCTTCAAGCCTCTTCCAAAAACTCTCCCTCTAAGTGGTATCATCAGGCTGCAGCAGGCTGCCATGGACAGCCAGCATGATCTTTCAGAATGGAAACTCCCAGACCAAAAAAGCCACCAGGACATTTGGCAGCTTGACCTGTTTGAATAACAGATCTGCACATTTCACTAGAGGTTAGCTACAGTAGTTGTTCTGTCACTAAAAGAGCTTCCTTAAAGTCAGAAAAACAAATTTTTTAAAATATACATCTTCATGCCATTACTCCAGAGTCAGGAACTGGTTAACTAAACACCGTGATTGTGTTGCATATTTAAGGCAATGATTTTTCAATCCCCAGTGTTTTCATCTTCTAGATTTGAGTTCCCTGGTCACCCGAAAGTTATAACTTATGTTTGAGTAGAGGGTCTCCAAAGCCACCAAACTTCGCAGACAGACAGCATCCCACAGTTGATTAGACAGTCTGGCAGGAGGAGGACAAAGCCACAGCAAACAGTCGTGGACAGTTTCGTAAGAGTTCTTGGGATTACTTTATCGTATCATCAGTCTGGCTAGAAACCCAGTCTCTGAAGATGTATTTTTGATTAAAAATAGCACTTGCAATTCACAGCCTTTAAACTCGTGAGCAGTACTGGATTTACCATCATGACTCATTTGTTATCTCATTCTTTCCAGCTCTGCCTCGAGAACATCGCAGTAGGTTCTGGCACCATTATTGACAAATTGAGGATAATTTAAAGGAGACCATCACCCATTGTGAAAGAGCTTGGTTTTAGGAGAGGTGTTAAAAAGCTTCATAAGCTATTGCTAGCAGAAGGAATGCTTTACATAATGAACATTTTTCTCAGTAGAAGGACTGTTGTACCCGTTGCATATATAGAACAATATATGTCCTAAAATACAAGGGTTATTCTTCAGCTGTAGGGAAGGGTGAAAGTTGTCAGAGGGGAAAGTTAAAATTTGCCTGTTGAAAAATTCCTAGGTGGTTTTTTTTTTTTGTTTTTTTTTCCCTTGGGGTTATTCCCTTAGCTATTGTAATTCCAAAGAGTACTCTGAAAATATGATGAAAGTGTAACCAGTTCAGGGATTCAAAAGATGTGGAGATAGCCTGAAACAGTAGTGTGTGTTCCACGTTAATGGACTTCTGAAGAGCCCTTGATAGCAGATGTTTGATAGCTTATCAGTATAGTAGATGAGAAGTAATTCATTTATGACACAATATAAGGAGAAAAAATGTTTTATTCATAAATGGAGTAGTTCTGAAAATCTTTCTGATACTCACAGGTTATGCTGTAGAAAACTAACAGATCAGGTGAAAGTGTCATCGGTTTTGTCCACTAGATTCAGCAAAATATTAAAAATATATTGTAAGGAACTATCTTGGTGTGATATTGAGGCAGGCTGGACGTTCACTGGGTTCTGCTGTGCTCTGAGTTAAATATGCATCCACATTTGTGGATACGAGAGGCCTGCCTGAAATCACAGTGCCAGGGCATCTGGCAAAGTTGACTGAGCAAAAGCTAAGTATATGAGTTACTTGAGGAGCAGAGGGAGGGGCAGCCGAGATAGAGGGAGGTTTGTATCTAAAACTCAGGGTGAAAAATAAAGCAAAAAAGTTACCTGTCCGATGATCCTGCATGTGCCTTGTAAGAAAGAATTGTCCTACTCGGTAATGCCCGTCCCCTGTCCCATTTCCAACCATGGCAATTAAAACATGCTGAGGAAGGGTGTACTAGAAAGAGGTCCAATATGTTGTGCTCCCTACCTTGGTCTGGCCTGTCAGGTGCTGCAGTCACTGTTTAGGAGCATTCTAGTTGGAGCAAATGAGGAACGGTTTAATAGCCACTAATGTGCCTGTCCCTTATGAACAAGTCCAGTTCATTGTATCTAATTTCAGATACCAGGTTTCAAAATGTGCTTCAAGTTCTTAACTTTTGGTGGTTTTTTTTGTAGTTGCTTGTAATGACCTTCCGAACTACATATTAGGTGTACCCATACATGTGGTGTATGCATTGATACGTGTACACACGTAGTTTTCAGCCTTTTTTACAAAACCAAATAATTTTTGACAAGAGCCTTCATTGTCTCTGATCAGCTTGTTTGTACTGCCCTTGGTTTCTCCTGCTGTACTTAGGCTTACGTTACTTACCTTGTTCTTCTGGTTTCCTCTGCAATTTATTGCAATTCTCTTTTTAGCCGCGATTATTTAGACAAAAGAGAAGAACTAAGACAAGCAAGAGAAGAGAGGTTTGTATATAATGCATCCATTCTTCCCTTTGGTTGGTTGCGCTTCCTATATTCTTTACTGTGGAGCTGTTGTGTATTTACATTTTTAACTCTGCATGCACAGAATACTTTTATTCCAAAAGACTTCTACAGGAAAGTGAATGTTTCATTAAAGAGGAGAATGAGGTCCAGCTGTAAGCACAGCAATAAATGAAGAGCAGTGGGACTGGAATGCATAAGAATGATTGATGATCTATCTTTTATCTATTTGTGTGGGAAATAAGCTTACTCCATTTCCCTCAGAAATTTGCCCAAAGTTAGTATAGTTACAAATTGAATAAGCCTGTCTTTCTCACCCAGAGGGTCCCGAGCTTTCTGGAGGGTCAGAAAAGGCAACTGAGGATAAAGGAAATTGGGGTCACATGCTTTGCAAAACTGCAGTCGCAGCCTGATGGAAATGGTTCTGACCCACTCCCAGCATTTTTTTATCTTTCAGGGCCAAGTTTTCTTTGCCGACCTCTCTAAACATCAGCAAGCAAATTACAAAGCTTAGCAGTATTTATCATTGCAACATTGTTTTAGTTTTATTTAAATAGCATATTTAAAGGAACTGAGGTTTTGGGTTTTTTTCCTTTTTTAAATTCAATTAAGTAGTTTATAACTCTGGGCTAGGCTGAGAGCTATGTGCTTATGAAAGCACATTTTTCAAGGAATACTGGATTGAAGACCTTTGCTTTCCAGTAGCTTCATCTCTACCTCCGCTATTAACTACACCCTGGAGGGAGCTCTTGTTTTTACCTGGGAAGTATGCATGTTACTGAACAAATAGTAGAAAAATCATCCAGATTGCTTCAGTTCTGCTTTTATGATCCTCCAGAGGTTTGTCTCTGGCAATACTTTTGGATTGTCAAGAATTGGACTTACGTTATCGAAGTATGAGAGCAGTCATCTCAGAAATCATTGTTGCTGCATTTTGGTTTTGCGTTGGGTTTTTTTTTCCACAAAATCATCATGCAGGAGGCAGTTTGTTCCTGCAGACTGAAGTCTGATCTATTGTGGCTGAAGTAGCTAATATTAAAAAATGATTTTGACATCTCTAAGAGTAAGAAAAGGTGGATGTGCTTTCCTTTGTCCTTCCAGCCAAAACAATTACAAATCGTTTAAAGTATTTTCGGAAATTAAATGTGTCTGAGCACATAAGCATCATACACTGATCTTAGCTGAGTAAAACCTTTTACAGCAAGTGTGCTCGTCAGCAAGATTTGAAACAAATTAGAAGCGAGCTCTGCAGCACTTTCAAGTTGTAAGGGAACACACCAAGTAAACTGGAGTATTTTGGGGGAAGTGTCCACCAGCAGGGCATCACTGCTGTGCAATCTGAGACAATTTCACTGGTCATTAGGAATGTGTCTTTATCCTTAGGGCTCCTTTGGATTGTAATGTTAAACTATCGGTTCTTCCTCATAAAGAGGAAAGACATATGTTTGCTTTGACAGCACATAAGTATTGGGGAATGCTTCTGGAAATGAAGTCTCACATCAGTAGTCTGTTACGTTGGCCTTCCGTAACTTTTTTTTTTTTTTTAAATAACCCACCTTTGCACAAATGAGGTTTCATTTCCTATAGCAAGTTGAATGGTGACTTGTTTTAACAGAATGCAAGAAGTGTAAGAAGATGCTATATCCAAGGTGCTAAAATCTGGATTGTACGTTTCCTCCATATCAGTTTGGGAAAGTAGGAGGCGTTAATACTGAGCACATATGAAAAGCTCTGTTAAAAGCACTGGTTTGTCCAAATTGTGTCAAATCTTTCGAGCGTTCTGTGTACTATCGTGTCACCCTTGAGCTCCAGAATACAGGCACCCACTTTTGCAATGGCTCTGGGGTGGCCTTACTATAAGGGAGAAGTATTTCTGCAGTTTCAAGGGGTCTGAGTGTAGCACAGCACCATTCATTTTACGTATTCTTGCTGTTCAGTGATTTGAGGCCTTTTTTCACTTTGCTTGGTTGAGTATTTTCCAGTGGTAGTTCAAAAATAACCCAACAAAGGTGAACTCTCAAGTCCTCTCTAGTGTGATTTACAGCTCAAATGCTCTCTACCTGTTGGCTTTGTTGGTACATAAACATTTTAAGTTGCACTTAGGGCATTGCTCAGAGACCTAGAGAGTTCACAATAATGTTTTTATCTAGTTAAAGATGATACATGGAATGTAATGTTCATGAGGCATACTAAATGGATAGCCCACAATTCTTTCCTCTTTGTCTATAGAGAGGAGTCGGCAAAGACATGATGATGGCTGCAGGTTTCCATGATTTAAAGGAATATGGCAATATATACCGAGGCAATGTGTCAGTCCTGTAGTGGAGGAACTATTTGCAGCAGGGGGATGGTAGCTCATCCTTTCAACTCCTTCAGATTTTGGTCTTCATGAGACCTTGTGTATTTGATGCTGGCATTCATTCACTGTTAAGACATTGGGCAGAAACAAAAAACAACCAAAATAAAGGTCGTTTATCAAGTGCAAAGTGTTAATAACTGATTCTTGACTGATTTCAATTTCGAAGTTAAATTGTGGTATCTGCTTATTAGGCTTCCCATTAGTTATGCTGATGCGCTGCCATGAGAGTTGCTGTCCTCTTTC